TGTGCTGTCATTAATTGACAGTTTTGAACCTGTTGGAGGATTTGTGCTATAAGAGGGGAGGGAGCGGATATTGCTCCTCCTTTTTACTGCTGCTTCCCCTTACAACTCCCATCCTTTATCACCTCATATTTCTTCATGTCACGAGTTTCACCTCTTCTTCCATCACCATTAGACCATCACACCTGTCCAAGCGAAACCTAAACGGCAATTAGGGATTAGAGTGTGGTGGAAGCGGAGGCGACCATTACCGGATTGCTTGCTTCGGGACACCTGCGAATTGTAGAAGTCTGGGGACATTGATAATATCAGTAAAGCTCGGTGTCGCGGAAATAAAACCTCTACTCTAGAGACAATCAGGACTAGCCAGTCAATGAATTGGAAATAAGGCTACCTCATTTATTTCTGTAATTTGCAGTAGATTTTTGTTTCATTGGAAAATGATTAAAAGTTGGAACTGTCAGTAATGATGATTTACTTCCCTTTTACATCTGGGAACTTTACTCCTCGAATCATGGCATCCGAAGATCGGAATCAATTTCTGCAAGAAGCTCCAATGTCTCATTTCTCATTTTCACTTTTCCTTTTTTTGATCCAATTAACCCAGGTTAAAAAAGGAGTGTCTATTTAAATGGAAAAGAAAGGCACGATAAAGCCAAGTGAGATGGCGCCATTGACACGAATTAACTGTGTGTGGGCAGTTATTAGGGACCGCAAAAATGGGATTTTAACAGCCTTCGGCCTCACACACTTTGGAAGGCGATAAACCTTGGATGTGGCAATTAAGTCCTCCCGACTGAGTCATGTGTATCACTGGTATCACCAAGCCAAGGCAGCATGATGTTGACAAGTAGACTTCCCTCTAGTGATATGCCAGTAAATACAAATAATAATAACCTCTAATTTCCATTAACTCAGGTATTTGTTTTCTGAAGATAATTGAGTACCACGGTTTGGGTGTTTGGCTGTTTCATTTAGAGCCTTCCTGTTCAAAACCGCGGAAAATAAAATTATTAATAAAGAAAGGCCAGTTTACATAAGATTTATTGCTTTCTACATAATGGCTTTGCCTGTTGCACACAATTTAGTACGACCAATTAGCATAAACCTTTAAGGGACACGTGTCACATATGTGTGACGTTGGATTAGGACAGTAAAATTAGTCGCACATATTTGCTATTTTGACAAAAAACGTGCAATCAGCCTTCTTTTCTCACTTTATTAAACAAAAAAGTCTCTTTAGTGTCCTTTTGCAGAATTTAACAATCCACCAGCAACAACTCTACTCGTGCTATCTTGAACCATTTACCAAGTCCCACGGGTAATAATTCAAATATGTCGTGATTTTGTTAAAAGATAGAAATGCCGATTAAGCTCGGTTTTCACAGCCGACTGCCTATTTCATGGAAGCCTAGCTGTCAAGACCTAGTAATTATGGCACAGCCTGAAGCAACCCTTCAACCACTTGTGGGTAACAAGATTCGGTTGAGTAACCACGTTTCGTTAGCAAACAATCTCGCTAGTTATTTGGAAGGATTACCATCCATCGAAAACACTTCGAGCGAGACAGAAGGATGGCTGTTATAACAACATCTATGTTAGAATATTTAGTAGATAACGACTAACCTGGAATCTTTGGGGTAGTTTAAGGTTTGCGCAGTCAGATAAATGCAAGGCAGATGAGAAAAAGAATTATCAGCAGTACGAAGCACAACTTCTTTCCACTCTCCGATAAAACATAAATCGACTGCAAATTCTGTCTTTCATGTAATTTAGGCTAATGTCGTTAATTTCATCCAGTATGAGTTGGTGATTGTCTAATGATAGTGGGAAGAGAAGGTGAAGCATGCTACAAGAAGACATACATGTTGACAACGGAGGACGCGGGTGCCTCCCTTTTCTGCCTTCTCTTCTCTCTTCTTCTTAAGCAAGCACTCTTCAACAGGAACGGAACAGGTGAGTTCTGTGGTGGTAGAAGGTGAGGTCTGGCTTTATGTTGTCAATTAATGACAGCACC